CCCATTTGGAGGGTCAAACGAGCCCCGAAGCGAGCAATTGCCTCATTTCGGTGATTTTCGTGTGCTATAGCACACCATTTTTTGGGTGATCCGGATTCCGACGTCAAAAATGCAAAAAATTTTCGTGGACATCCGTCAAGATCTTTTCTATGCATACGGTTGGCCATCACAGCTTGTACGACCCATTTGGAGGGTCAAACGAGCCCCGAAGCGAGCATACGCCTCATTTCGACGATTTTCGTGTTCTAAAGCATACAATTTTTTGGGTGATCTTGATTCCGATGTCAAAAATGCCAAATTTTTTCGTGGACGTCCGTCAAGACCTTGTCTATGCATACGGTTGGCCATCACGGCTTTTACGGCCCATTTGGAGGGTCAAACGAGCCCCGAAGAGAGCATACGCCTCATTTCGATGATTTTCGTGTTCTATAGCGCACCGTTTTTTAAGTGATCTAGATTCCTACCTCAAAAATGCCAAATTTTTTCGTGGACGTCCGTCAAGACCTTGTCTATGCATACGATTGGCCATCATGGCTTGTCTGGCCCATTTGGAGGGTCAAACGAGCCCCAAAGCGAGCATACGCCTTATTTCGAGGATTTGCGTGTGCTATAGCAGACCATTTTTTGGGTGATCCGGATTCCGACGTAAAAAATTCCAAATTTTTTCGTGAACGTCCGTCAAGACCTTGTATATGCATATGGTTGGCCATCACAGCTTGTCCGGCCCATTTGGAGGGTCAAATGAGCCCCGAAGCGAGCATACGCCTCACTTCGATGATTTTTGTGTGCTATAGCACACCATTTTTTGGGTGATCTGGATTCTGACATCAAAAATGCAAAATTTTTTCGTGGACGTCCGTCAAGACCTTGTCTATGCATAAGGTTGGCCATCACGGCTTTTCCGGCCCATTTGGAGGGTCAAACGAGCCCCGAAGTGAGCATACGCCTCATTTCAACGATTTTCGTGTGCTGTAGCACACCATTTTTTGGGTGATCCAGATTCTGACGTCAAAAATGCCAAATTTTTTCGTGGACGTCCGTCAAGACCTTGTCTATGCATACGGTTGGCCATAACGGCTTGTACGGCCCATTTGGAGGGTCAAACAAGCCCCGGAGCGAGCATACGCCTCATTTCGACGATTTTTGTGTGCTATAACACACCATTTTTTGGGTGATTCGGATTCCGACGTCAAAAATGCCAAATTTTATCATTGAACGTCCATCAAGACCTTGTGTATGCATACGGTTGGCCATCACGGCTTTTCCGGCCCATTTGGAGGGTCAAACGTGCCCCAAAGCGAGCATTCGCCTCATTTCGGCGCTTTTCGTGTGCTATAGCACACCATTTTTTGGGTGATACGGATTACGACGTCAAAAATGCCTAACTTTTTCAAGGACGTCC